CCGCCGGCTGTCCGTGGACCCGTCCCTGATGATCTCCAAAAATGAAATCAGCAAAGTCGTCCATGCTTGTACTGTCTGTGCTACAAGAACATTCATCTGAGTTGCTGTCAAAGAGAGAAGAACTGTCACTTGACGAGTCGTCTTCTAAAATTTTCTGCAGCCTTTGGAAACTCGAATAAAACGATTGTATATTGCCAGATCGACCACCACCGGGAGTGTTGGAAGACCCCACGGAAATTGGAGTGGACACAAACCGTGACATGGATGTTATACTTTCCTCATTAGTTTTAGGTGCCAGCACGCTGCTTTTTTTATTGGATGTTTCAGTTTTGGTACATACTAATCTTGGAGGCATTGGTGAGCACCTGTAGTTAATTCATTCATTATATACCACAATTAAATGGATACGCATAATCCACAATCTTACAGAGAGTGAGAAGCATATAATATTATTTACCTTGCGTAGAACAACATATATGCTCCCTTTGTCAGGACCCTTTCAACATCAGAAGTTACTACCTGAAAAATGATCAATGCACATCGAAATAATTAGACATTGAAAGTTTCTTGAAATATATGATCCACAGATGAAGATAACAACCAGAGATCGGGCAACTTGCATAGAAGGCTACTCAATTTCCACTCACAAAACCAACGCTAATACTTTTCAGACTACAATGAAGATAGAACAAATGTTCTAGAAAATCCAATGGAACCAGCTAAATTATCATTTGAGAATAAAAAAGGAAAAAGGTGGGGGTGGCATAAGATAGTGAAACATCCATTCAGGATTGAGAAATTCATCATTGACTAGGTAGAAGTCGAATAATGTAAACCATGTTGTCAGATATGCATGAAAGTCCTACCGACTTCGAGAGTTCAATAAATAACTCACTCATGTATAAAGGTCACAACAGATACAGCTTACTTATAAAGAAACTAATTCATAAACAGCTTTCGCATTGATAATATATTTGAGCAGCTTACCGTGCTATCATCAGCCTTGTACCACTTGTTGTGACTGTTTCTAATATAGCAGACATAGTGACCAGAAAATGTCGCATTCATTATATCCAAGTGAACAATAACTCCATAGAGTTTGTACTCATGTGAACTTTCACTTCCTCCGCTGACATATGGAGCCAAATCTAGATTCTCTGGAAACTTGATCAGCTTATTCAGCTTCCCAAATTTTCCAGACTGCAAGAATTAAGGGTCGTGAAAATGTGAGCAAACAAGAAAACAAAGATGGAAACCTAACAGAATTAATCAGGTCTCTTTTGAAGATATAAGATACCTGGAATCGTTTTAGTGCAATTGTAAGGATATTTGGAGGCTCTGTAATTTTCAACTTCTTTTTGGCCCTTTCGTAGGATTTACACCTGCTCACAAAGAAAAAAAAACTCAGCACCCATGAACTGTCAAATGTAAAGCTCACAACCAAAATCAGATGAAATTGTATAAGAGGTTGCAGTTGACTGTGTTAGAACTATGCAAATGAAGGATAATGATACTCTGAATAATTCTGTCTTCGTAGAGGAACTCTATTTCAAACGTTGGAGTCTAGGTACTGTAATTGAGGTACATGACAAGGCTAAATCAATTGGTATTCTATCCACCCCAGAACCAAACATAAACCTCATGTAGATATCTAGTGAGCCTCAAAATCACACAAAGAGACCTGGAAATATCAAACGACCACACGGAATTCAAAAACGAAATGCTGACCAACCTGCCACATCTGTATTTGTTTTCACCATCCAAAATCTCAGTCCGAGTAAATCGACGCAAAGCATCATCCAAGGTGCTAATATCCCCATCAATCTCAACCGTCAAATCCATCATTTTCTCACGCCGCTCAGACTTTTGTTGACATTTCATGCATTTGATCTGGCAGACATCATAATTGTTTCAAACGAAAAGCAAACAACCAGAAAACATTGTATACTTAGTAAAGTCAATATATACTAGGTAATAATACCTTTGATCGGAGGTATCCCCCAAATGTCAAACCAATTAGAGTTGTATCTTCTAACTTTCTAGTCTTCAGCATATCATATTCAGATGCCTTAATAGACACAGACTGCATAGTGTCGACAACAAACCTGCGAATTACAAGAAAAAAATTGTAAAGGAAAATGAAATCAACAAGAGATTCTTCAAGTAGTGAAATATATATATATCTGCATCAGAGATCATCCGATTGCAGAAATGTCAGTTCACCTAAGGAATTCATGTGCATCTTCTTGCTTGCCATTCCCAAGAAAGATTCCAATATTCTGCAGCTGTGATAGCAACCCTTTAGGGGACAGCGGAGACTTCCCTTCTTTTGCCTTTACGACTAGGTTCTCAAACCCACAGGTGAAGCACTGTTCTTTGTTTGTACCTGATAGTCAAAAATGACCTATCAAAAGCTTGATGTATAACAATAGAAGTAAAACATAGCCCTCCAAAACAAGCAGCATATATCACATCAAAAAAAAAAACTCAAGACCAGAGACTTACATGCTCTAGAATGGAATTGCTGGAGGAAGTATGTTATCAGAGGAGGAGTGAACATCAAGCATTGGAAGACAACATTAGCAAAGCAGCTGCAAGAAACAAACTATTTTCAGTGAATGTTCGCTAAACATTGTCAGTCTTTTTAAATAGCAGAACGTGAAGAATATAAAACCACAAAAGAACATGAACTTCTTCAGAAAGCATCACTTCCAGATTCAAAAAAAAACTACGAAAAGAGGAAACTGGGATTACCTATTGCCACAGTTGATGAGGCCACAAGGCTGGAACTCTGTTTTATCTTTATACAGCTTAGCAAAGAGTTCATATGGAAAGAGCCCCTGCATGCCACAAGCAGATTGATAATAATAATTATTTGTCCAGATTTGTTGCTGTAGGAAGTGCTGTAGAATGATGATAGCATACTAGAACTAGGTGATTACCTTATGGCCATGTCTTCCTGCCATCTCATTCTCAGCTGATGGCTTTGGTCTAGTCAACTGGTCTACAACTTTCAGTGCTGATGCCTTCAGACCACATCTTCCATGTAGAGAATTTATATGGTGAAAGGCATTACCATTCTGTTTCTGATGGTCAACAACTTTTCCATATTTTGCACCTAGAGGAGAATGTTTCATAACAGCAGCACACTCGCTAGTTTTTGAGACCTTTGATGTCAACAGTTGGACTTCCCCAACCTTCAAAGGGGCCAACATACATTTGCTTTCACTACTGGCGATCTTTGACTTCTGAAAGGTCACAGGGGACAAAACAGTAGTGTCCAAAGAACTCGGCGAATCAGTAGAATAGGAAGCTGAAAATGATGTTTCAGATTCATCAGATCTTTCAGCAATTCTTTCTTTTAATTTCACTTCCTCGGAAGAATTATCAGTCCCTAATGCCTCTCTAGGAGCTTCTTCTGGAATTCTACCCTTATACTCAGAAACTTTAACAGCTGAGGTGTCTCTAGAGGAGCCAAAGGAGAAACGCAGAGATGAGATACCAGGTCCACTAGATTTACTAGATTTGGAACTATCTAAATTCTCGCTTACACGTTCTGCTGATCCAAGAGTCATACCCCAGAAATCAGATGATTTCACAGAAGATGGATCAGCTGATCCTGGATGCCTGTCTGTAACACTTGAGTGTAAGCTACTTGATTGACTCTGGTTCTGCCCATCATCACCCCCAGATTTATGCAGACTAAATTTGGTCAAATTAGCAAGGCTATCTACAGACTCAACCAAATGCACAAACTTTGGAGACAACGGCTTGGATGGAACGTCGTCAATGGTGCTTAAACAGGTCTCCTCTGACTCTACAGAAATATGGGCATCAAGTGGAGATTCTGATCTCTCGGAATCAGATGAACTGAAGCTCTCACAAAGAGAAATATCATCACCAGAGTCATTACGAGGGGAGGAGGAGAAGCCAGAAAACGAGGATCCAGATGTTTCAGCAACAGAAACAGCTTCTTCCTTATCTATAAGGTCATCTTTGTTATCTGCACTATCTCCATTCCCATCATCAAGAGATCTGTCATGATTAGAGAATACTGCTTCCCCGACTGGTATAGTAACTGGTTCATGATGCTGCAATAAAGTTTCATCAAGAGTATTCCCTTCCTTATCTTCTCTGAATTTCAGATCAGAGTCACTTTTCTCATCGTCTGTATTATATATGATGCAAGCAGGACGGCATTCATCTTTGTGACCTTGACGCCAGTGAATGATTTGACATTTCCCAGAACTGGAAAAAAAAAAGGAAGCGAATAAAGTTCTGATGTAACAAATACAACTTAGACATACATGTTGGGAATGAGATAAAAGTGGAGAATTTGACAG